TGGCGCTTTATGCTGGAAAGTGAAAGCAAGATTCTCCACCCTGAAATCAAGTCAATGGGTGTCTGTTTAGACACTACTACTACCTCCTGAAGAAAGAAAACTCTGAACATGTTTGTATTAGGAGCCTGATCAATCTCGCTTACGTTTTTATATTATGGAAATGTTTTCTGATATGTTAAAAGGTTTTTTAATTTTTATTGATGTAAAATTATAGAAAATGTTATACATTGAATTGCACAAAACAAAACTACATCAGTAAGATTATTTCCTTCAAAATTAAATTACAATGGTAACTATATTTAAATGGACGAACATGAAGACAGCTATGCTCTCTCATCCCTAGAAAGGGTCCTTCTAAAATCACAGTTAAGGCACAAGGTAGACCAGGATTGGGAAGCTTCCATTTCTGGTTCAAGTGCTATACTTGTCCTGTTTGCAGACAAAGGTCTTCTGTCTCTAGCACTGTTCACCTAGGAACTTTAACAAGTCGAACAAAAACTTCAAAAAAACAAAAACAAAAAACAAACCTTTGCCCATACTACCATGCAATATTACTTAGACATCAATTCTAAGCTGAATGGAACACATTCTAAATTTCTCACATAGAAGCAACGGGGAATTTGAATAACAATTCATACCCAGTGTTTTGAAAATTTACCCATAGTTTATCTAGGTAAGCCCAAGTCTGCCATTTATCTGTAACTATCCCAGAAAGTTGACCTTCACCACAAGCTTAGCCTGGGCAACCTCTGTTACAAAGGTGTAATCACAATCTTTTTCATATAATCATTTTGGCACTGCAGATATTCAGGTCTTATTTTTAATCATTGATACATTAAGCACCAGCAAAATAGTTTGCTTAGATACTCCACTGGCAATTTTTAAAAAATGAATTAAAACATTTAGCCTTTTGATTACCTTGTTAAAGTGAGTCATGACAGCATTATAACTGTGCTTGGTATGGCCGCTATAATTAAGAATCTGTCAGGTTTTTCTTTAAAACACATTTTTTTAAGGTGAGGTTTATAACTCAGTCATTTCAAATTGTATCATCTTGAAGTGTGACATGCAAACCATCAGCCCAGAAAAAGACATTACAATTAGAATTTGCTTTTACAAAAAGTGATCAATATTTGTTAAGATGCATGGGATAATGTTCTGTGTGATGCCTTTTATAATTTCCCTATACATTCTATGTTTTAGTCATTTGTGCTCTATCATTTTATGATAATTTGAAGAACAAAATCTGAAGAAAGCCATTTGTTTGTTTCTGAAAACCATTTACTGGAGTATGCACAAAACTTTTTTTAATTTTACTTTGCATTAGTGTTCTATAGTCTGTAAATTATGTTAATAGAAATCCACTAATGTCAAACAGAATTTGTGCACAAGGAATAGTGTGTTTCTCTGAGGTTTAGAGGTTCTAAAGGGATAAAAAAAAAAACCAACAGGATCAAAGGGATATAGGAAATATGATGGAGACCATAGAGTCACTTGGGGAGCTCAGAGAGAGGGAGGTACACAGAAGATGAAAGATAATCAGAACACAAGAGAGAGAACTTGAGTAAAAAATGTCTATTCAGTTTACGAGTATAAACTTTTAGAATTGTTCCTTAGCAACTACAAAACTGATTAGAAATTTTTAAATGGACAATCTTTAAACTTTCAGTGAATATTTCAAGTGCATACATTTCAAGGACATTTCAAGGACACACTACTTGCTAATACCATCCTTTATTTTATTACGTTTCGTTGATTGTTAATTACTTTTACTAATACTGAACATGGTTTTGGTAGGGTCATTTTCTCTGACAGATAAATTAAATAACTGAATATACAGGAAAAAGTTTGTATAAAAATAATGTACCTTGAGGGCATTGTGTCACTGCAACGAGACGTGTTAGGGTGTCATACTGACTAGCACGACTACTCAGGTAGTTGGAACAAGCACGAAGTCATGCAGAATGACATGCACCCAAGTTTCACTGCTTAAACTGCTTTTGTAATTTGAAACCTATTGCTTAAAAAGGTATCAATTTCTGTAGAAGAAGCTGGATGGGAAAAAATTTAGTTGCCTATGATGTACAATGTGCTGCAATCGTTCTTTGAGTCTTAAGAAATAGAAGTCACATGTAAAAAGTATGCAATATTTGCAATCACCCTTGTTTTAGTTGGTAAACTAATTAGCTAAGTTCATGCAGTATTAAAAGAGGAGGCTTTATCAAACAAGCCAAAACAGAAAATGTATTTATAGCAAAAAATGCAAAATAGGACTTTACTGTTTTTGCTGTCAGCTGTCTAAAAATTCCCTTCCCACCCATATCTACTAGTATTCTTCTTATTTTGGTCACTGCTTTTCAACACAACTTTACCTCACTTTTACAGACGACATTTTTCAAACTATAAAACTGCTGTTAAAACTTTCTTGCTTCAACAGTTTCTCATTGCTGTAAGAATAAGTCTACATCCTTTGTTACTAATATACACAAACCTATTGGTATGTGACTTTGACTCAAGGCTGAGAACAGGCTATAAATTTAGAAATCAATATCTAACTCTATCAATATTCATTTTACTTTTTCTTTCAATATAAAATACAAAGGTGAAAGAGCAGTAAATAAGCTAGAGTACTGAAATAAATTGGGTGTTCTTGTCACAATTAATAAATGTTTACCCAATAACACTGCTAGCTACAATAGTCTACAGCCTTGTAAAATGTCTGAGAGTATGTACTGGAGCAGGTGCTAACCCGACTGTTCACAAAAATACACACAACATATTTCCATAGTTAATTAGCAATCACCAGTAATTCTCCTTGGTACTATTTATCCTAAATATATAAAACATACTGTGCATATTGCTATGGAAATGAATTTATCCAAGCAATTTTCTTCTGGAAACACAGATTGGGATTATGGAACTAAACTGTTTGCTCACCTAGCTGGATGACATACTACAAATTAGTAAAGCATGACCGAGTATGTGCATTATATCCCAAGATAAAGCTTATACTCTTTCAGCTTTCACTACTGTATTCAACTAGGAAGCAGAGTAAGTATTGGTGGACTCATTCTGTTGATTTGCAGAAACAAACATCACTGTGATTGCTGTGTACGTGCTAATTTTTTTTTCTTTTTTTTTTAGAAAAATATTTCCATATTATTTTTTAGTTAGTTAATCCCAGTCGTTTTATTTCTATATTTTAACAATGTAGATCAGTTGGGGAAAAATCCCAACCAAGACAATGGTAGCTTGTCCTACTCTAAATCCCTTGCTGGAATGTAATGACATTAGGTAAAGCCCTTTCTTTCTTCAAAGAATGATATCAAATGTTAAAAAAAACAAAATCAGTGTTTTAAAATTAATTTAGTTGTGGGAAGCAGTAGTAATGGAGTGAACTGAGGTAGTGAACCCATGTATTTCTGAAACATTTTTGTGTGAACATAGCTACCATTGTTTAATTTACTAAATGTTTTTCCAAGTTTATACTGGTTTCTTTAAAAAAACCCACAAAGATTCAAACATAGAAAAACACTTCATATTATCAAAAGCTAATACAGAAGGAAACTGAACTGCTCTTCTTGAATTAGAAAGATAAATTCACACTAGTTAAATAGTAGCAAATACAAGGTTTTTTCTTTTTCTCTTTCTATGATTTTGTATTTCTTTTAAAAAAGGTACTGTATCTCTCTCTGTTTAAGACAAAAATCCTTTACAAAAAATGTCCTGTATATTGTGAAGATGTCACTATGTATCAGAAACACTGAATGCTTTTATAAAATATTTAGTAACTTCATTATCAAAAGACTGGCTTTGCAAACTATGCAGGGGGAGTTAGCTTGTGAATAGTGGAAGTCCACAGTAAAATGTATGATAAAATAAATCTCACTATACTTTATACCAACTCTGTACAAAACGACTTTCTTTAGTACTTGCAAGTTGTGAAGTCAAAATCACTTTGTAGAAATAATTGTATTATCCTCTTCTCAACCATTAAATATTTTCCTGCTCACTTCAGATATGTTCAGAGTCTTAGAACCTGACCTAGACATTCTCTTTTTCCATACTGCTTCCACTAAGATGTAGTATTTCTGAGATTGTTCTTGGTCTGTTTTTGTCACTGTTTGAAACACTGAAATATTGAGGGGGGCCATTCAACGGGAATGCAAACATTTGGTTACTCTAAAGAATATCTAGGACAGATCTGAATCAAAGAATTGTATGCATGTTCACACTGTATATAAGGTACTGTAAGTATATGCTGATAAACAGAAATATATACTAACATGTGCAGTCCAGACATTCACATATTACAAATATGTGAAATATATGAAGACAGACTAATAGAGATACACACAAAAAGATGCACAACCACATCCTCACCAGTCTAAATATATATAGTTAATATAAACAAACAGATGAGAATCCTGTAAATCACAGCCAAGTATTAAAAAAGTCATTTCACAGCTGTAACATCAGCAAAATGCATGCGATGGTTGTGACCTCGCATCTATAAAAATCTTTGAAAATGCACTTGCAGGTGTTAGCCATTTAATGTGCTGCACTAATTTTGAAGATATCTTTCATATACTTGACTCCAAACTTTCAATGATTTGCCCAACAAATCTTGTACAGTACATTCTATTTATTCTATGTTTTCATATACATTCTTCATTGGAAAAATACACTAGCTCTTCCTACCTTGTGTTGTTGAGTATACATGGATAGTAATCTCTTCTGTTTAAGATTTTCATTATGGGGAAACCAAATCACTTTTCTTTAATAAATACTATGTTTGAAAAGCCTGAGAAATTGGAAACATCTAAAGAACAATTAAAAGTCAGTTGATTTCTTAATCTCGAATACTAACCATTATACTACCTGCCTAAAGGTATCTCAAGAGTGGCTGAATGTATCATGTACTTTACTATGTTGCTGACCTACTGCTTTGTATTTTAAAGATTTAACTTTTGGGGTTTTGTTACAGGAAAATTGGTTACCTGTGGGTCCTGGCAGGGGTGCAGCTTTTCTTCTCCGTTTGATGTCTCCCATGCACAATGATCCTAAATGTACACTTGTTTGTCTGTAAGTGATTATCAGAGAAAACTATTAACAAAGGGGGAAAAATGCCACATAAATACACAGCTTGTATAATCTGAACCTAAATCAAAACATTCTCAATGAAGATGAAGCTACACAGTGAAGCCACCAATCTTGTTTATATCGAAACATAATTATGTTTGTTGACAAGCGCTCAGCATCTAAACACAGCATCATAAATTGTTACCGGAATGAATAATATAAAAGGAATGCTTTTTAATTTTCAAAACTGGCAATCTTTCTAGCTCAACATAAAACACTGTTTCTTCTGACAGGAAAATAGCTAAGATTAATTATCTAAAGAGATCACAATATTGTTGTAGGTTATCAATTGGTTACTAATGCCTTACTGTCAGAATGACATTTATTACAGGAAAAGTATTATCAATTTCTTTTAAGGTAACATGAGGAATGTCTGAGGTAACATGAAACAGAAAACTCTTCAAACGCATATGGAATAATAGAGTAATTTTGCTATAAGTAACTTGACAGTCCTTTAGAGCGGCACAGATACTGCTGGCTGAAGAATTAGGAGACAAGGGAAAAAGAAGAGGCATTTATGGAGATGTATTAAACATTATAGAGTATCTAAAAACACAAGTCCCAATATTGCGATTCTTTTAATTATAACTTAGTGAATTTTGTTAAATCACAAGGTGGGAAACAAATCTAGTAAACTGGTGCCAATGAAGAGTAATATGTTCCCATTCAAGGGGCCTGGGTTCAGTCTAGGATTTATACATTTTGCTTTACTGCACATAAGCTTTCTTTAAGCTATACTATTATTAATTGTGTAACAGAGCATTAATTATGTGATTTAAAAGAATATTCAGATTTCCTGTATAATGTTGTAAAAAAAGAAAAACTACAAAACTGGGCTGAAAATGGTCATAACTTTTAACCTTTAATGGTACAAAACCACTTTTTAACATAAATGTAGTAATGACTTTGCTATTTCACATAGAGAGGCTTCAGTGGGTTATTTAAAAAATAAAATACTCCAAAGCATATCCCAGATTAATTTATTGTGCCACAACTTCAGCATCAATTAACTTAACTTTCTATTTTAACATGGACTTTTCTTTCTTGAAACAACCTCACAAGTTGAATTTAAATAAAAATGTAAAATCCAAAGGCTAAGTATAGTGAAACCATCCTTTCCCCCCCTCCTACTATCATGGAGTACATTTCAATTAGTTCTAAATTTATAGTAAGACTCTTTAAACCTCCAAATCTTTCGTAATTGGTAGTACATGTAAAAACAGTGAAAACTGGAAATTTAAATAAAGTATAGAAAAGGTCAATAAAGGCAAAATAAATATTCAAAAAGCTATTTCAACAAAGTTGTTATTAAACTTGCAGGTTTTAATTTATGTTTTATATATTCTATTAAAGTAACCATTTAAAGTACATTAACATGATGTGTGTGTGCTTTTAAAAAAAAAAATGGCTAAAATGTAGAGAATGGGTTATGAATCCAGTCATATTACACTTGGGAAAACTGTCTCTTCAAGAATGGCTTCTACTATCTTGATTACTCACTTGACTCTGATATCCATAATGCAACTAAATCACCCATAGAATATATTTTCTGAAACTAAATATCAGAATTCAAATAAAGGAATGCAAAATATTAAAATTAGGAACTGTCTTAACTGTTAAACTGATATATGTCCTCATTTTATTCAGAATGAATATGCTGCAGATAAAAAATGTGAAGACCTTCATATCTCATTGTAGTTTTTTTTTAACATCAAGAAATAGGATTACCAATGAATACTAAACATAGATCACCAGTTCCCTCTTCCCAAAATCCATATCCCATTATATTATTGCAGAGCCTTTGACTGTAAAAGTCTCCTGGACATGTCTCATACTAGGTAGAGTGCAATATCTGTGTTTCTTTCTCCAGCATTTCTATGTAGACGGGGAAAAGGGAGCAAAAAAACAAAACAAACCCACACCACCCAAGGATGCAAGTAGGATGAAAGATAAAAATTAATAAAGTCAGCCAATTGAACCTCAAGACCTGAGCTACAGGAGTAACAGCTAGCTGTGCTTGAGTAATTCTACCCAGAATTGATTATCTGTTACACTGCATTGAGATATCTAGATTATTGATCAGTAAGATTATGGTACTCAGGTCCCACCACTTTTCCTCCAGGCACATGCAATGGAGTTGCAACAAATAACACTAAGTAAGGACTACTTTGTTATTGTTGTCACCCTTCATGTAGAACATAGCAGTTACTTTTTAATTCAAAATCAATGAATGTCTGAAAGGCAGCCTTGTTCCTTCAGCATAAATGAATCATTTGTCTTTGCAAAGTACAACAATTTGATCACTAGCCAAGGTGAGAGTGGTTATTTTTTTGCTATGGTTTTGAAGAAAAGCTAGAGGTTTCTATATGCTAGAAACTAACCAATATTCTTAAGAAATCGTTAAAGCAACAATTACACTTTTTCAAATCCACAGTCCATTATGAGGCTAATAATAATATTATACCTTTGACTAAAACTAGATTAATTTCAAACACTGCATTTATTTCCACAGGGAATTACAACTACCATTTTACATGTATTGTTGATTGAATCGCAGCAAGACAAAAGGCTATATTTTAAAGAGCAATGGACAAAGAACTGTTCCTAATCTGAAAGCTACAGTTTAGAGAAAGCAAGCTATTACTCTTTGGCTATAAACACAAACACTGGCTCATGTATATTACATTTCTAAATTGTAGACGTAGAGAGAACTCTGACCCTCACAGTCTGGCTAGGGGTTCAACAATATGCTTCTTACCATTAAAACACAAAAGCAAGGATCACAAATAGGAAGAAAGCTATTTGCCTGATTTCTCTCTATTTATCCATAGCTTGCTGCAAGCTATCATTTATAAATAGTGCTCTGGTGGGAAACTAGGCATTTTATTAGGGAAAAAATAAAACTTGTTAAGACCACCTTGCCTGAAAACTTGGCTTTTGACGTGCTGGTGACAGGGACTGGAGCAAGCAGTGTCAAATGGAATAATTTTAAAGGAAAGACAACAGGAACTTGTCGCCTCATTGTATGCATTTACAAATAGAGGCTTTTCAGAGTATTAGGCCTAGTTAAAGCTGCCCTCTGGATAAAAAGTGTTCCCAAGCAGCCTCAGACAAGCTTGGGAGACAAACAGATGTGACTATGGTCCCTGGCGTTTGGCAAGAACACTCACTGTCAATAAGAAAAATATAAGCATGGACAGGGCATCAGCTGCACAACAGTGGAGCAGGCCTGCAAGTGTCATAGCAGCGGCAAAGTTGTGGCAGAGGGAAGTAAAAAGGCTGCATAAGCCAGACTGGTGTGAACTTACACTAGTAGGCCAAGATTTTTTTTGTTGTTATTATCATGCCTCGACATATTAAACAAAAAAGGAATGGAAAAATCTACTGCCAGATTTTATTCCGTTTTCCTCTGATATACAGTATTTCCAGGGAAAAGTTGGTAGTGGTATTATAAGCACAAGACGACACACCAAAAATCATGTATATTAATAAAAAAAATAAGTTACACTATGGAAACTGCTGTCCTCATCAATGTGGAGACAGCCATTTCTAACACGAGTCACCAGTGTTCATGGCTATTTCACTGTTCAGTGCTATCTAATTTTCTTTACTTTCCCCCTCCATTCTGGAAGTCTGCCTTCCCACTTTTTTCTGTAGATAATCATTCCGGGAAATATGTCTAAATGATACATCTTTTAAATTCCCCAGACAGAAACCATCCATCCACACTGTTGCCATACAAACTCTTATTTTTCTATCACCTCAGTATTCTTGGTAACACAATATTTTTAATGAGTGTTTCTCATCTGCAACTATGAATGTTCGGCTTCCAAAGCCATCCATAGCAGCTCAAGTCAGAGTTTGAGCTAATAGGATCTTAGCCGTCATTAGCACCACCCTTTCCTGCGTAAAAAGCCTTCGGTTTCATGTTGACATTTCAATCCATATCCGGCCTTCTTTGAAAGAGGCTGTCCACTTTCATGGACCACGGATACAGAAAACAGACCTTTATATGCCATTTCCACTTTGCGCATGTACTTCTATATATATTGTTTTGTTAAATGATTATATTTTATATAAAAACAAAAAGAAAAAAAAGAAAACAAACAGACTTTTACTTGTTTAACCTCTTCTTTTCCTACTTTTAAGGGTTTATGATGCTCCCAGGTATTATCACCGCCTTTGCTATTAACATTTAGATGGAGTTAGAATTTCACTCTATATTTAGTATTCGCTTCAGTCATTAAAAAGCAGTATAGTGCTGTGGACTGAATACCATAGTTCTCCCCTAGGACTTGCTATGTGGACATGGGGAAATCACTAACCACCCTGTCCATTTTTCCATATGTAAAAAACAGTACTCCTCCAAAAACAATTAATTTTCACCCCTATTACCCTGGAAGTGGGAATTATTCCATAGCTACTTCACAAAGGTGTGTTGTGAGAATTAAGTTTGTATAGCAGTTGTCTTCATATGTGCAAGTACATTTTCTAAGACCTTGATTCCAAATAGGGGCTTTTGGGCACTACTGCAATACAAATAACATATTTATTTATGTATTTATTTTACGTCTACTCACTGCTCCAAATCCAGTGTCTTCTTGCTTTTAGGTAGGGTGACCAGATGTCCCATTTTTATAGGGACAGTCCCATTTTTTGGGTCTTTTTCTTATATAGGCGCCTATTACCCTCCACCCCCGTCCCGTTTTTTCACCGTTGCTATCTGGTCACCCTACTTTTAGGAGTTTTCGCTTTCCTCACAAGCTGTAATGCTTTGAGCTCAATATTATTTACTATTCTTGATGTGTTATAATTACACTATTAATTGCAATGTTAATACATGCACACCTCATTTCCTCCCCATAGTTTGTTTGGACTTCTGTTTACACTTCAGCAAAGCATCAAGTCATTTGCCAGATTACATTTTGTACCTCTATGACT